AGAGACAGGGCAGTCCTGGTGTGTGGGCGAGACCGGGGCCCTACCTGATGTGGGACAAGGGGCAGGGCCATACACGGGGTGTGGCAGAGACAGGGCAGTACACGGGTGTGGGGGGGGGAAAAAGACGGGCATACACTGGGGTGTGGGCGAGACAGGGGCCCAAAACTGATTGGGGGACAGAACAGGGCCCTACATTTGTGTGGACAGAGACAGGGCAGTACCCCTGGGTGTGGACAGGAAGGGCAGTACACTGGTGTGTGGGCGAGACAGGGCCATACACTGATGGTGGGCAGAGACAGGGCCATACATGGTTGGGGGGACAGAGAAGGGCCATACACGGGTGTGGGCAAAGGGAAGGGAGTACATGGTGTGTGGGGAGAGACAGGCCAAACCTTTTTAACTAGTTCACTATCATAACTTTGGGGTCCCCGCCCTGGACCCCTTATGACCTTTGTAATCTTTTGACTACCGCCCCAAAGGATGGGTATGGGGGGCATAATAAAATATTAAACTAAAATTTTCCCCCCAAACCTTACTCCCGGGAACTCTTCTGTCCTCTGCCTTCCTCATTTTCGGTTTTCTATTCAAAAATTTTTTCCTCCCTTAGACATCAAACTTACCTTCCGCCAGACTAAAACCTCTTCGCACTAATCCGTTCATACCCCTCCTCCCTCTACAGATGTTCCCGGGGTCTACTCTATTTTGCTCCTCCTGTCCTCTTCAATACTTTGGAGAAACTGGTCGATGTCTTTCTGACAGACTTAGGGAGCACAAAAATAGCGTTAGGCTTGCCGACACTAATAGTGCTCTTTTCTGTCACGTCAGAGATCACAGGCATCCTATTGACTGGTCTTCTGCTAAAACTGTCTTCCCTACTTTCAACTCTAACAGTCGCCGTCTGGTTGAATCCTCCCTAATACACAATTTTCCTAGTATGAATCTTAGTCCTGGCTTCGTCTCTGTAGATGCCTTCCTCTCCCACTATATTATAAAATGCTCCAAACCTCAGAACACCCTTGACTTATCCTGATTCCTCCTTTTTCTTCTTCTTCCCTCTTCCCCTTTCCTCTTTCCCTTTTTCTTTTCTCTTCTGGGTTGACTTCCTTTCTTCTGTCTTGTGTTTCTGTTCCTTCTATATTTATTTCATTCCTTCCCCTCCGCCCCACCTCTGTGTTCTTGCTCTCCCTCTTGTGGCACCTAGCTCCCTTGCAGTGCTCCCTTTATTTGTATTTGACTGGCTCCTCCTCCTCCTTAATTCCTCACTACCACCACTACTACTACTACACCACTACCTCTTCCTGCCTATATATACCCGTCCTGCTCCACTTCTTGTTGACTCACACTCCTTTCACCAACACAGACATTAAAACTCTCCTCAGACACCTTCCTCCCAAGGCTCCTGGCGCCTCTGGCCTAAACCATAATTATCCTAAACACCTTCCTGACTCTATCATTACTGCCTACACCAAAAACCCCCTCAATGCCTCCCTTGCCTCTGGATACTTCCCTTCCCTCTTCAAAGCTGCTACTGCTATCCTCCTTCCTAAACCCAAAAAAAGCCTACTCTGATCCTAGAAATTATCGCCCTATCAGCCTCCTCGAAACTTTAGGTAAACTCTTTGAAAAACTCGTCAATCATCGCCTTCGCAGATACCTGGAACACAACTCTCTACTTTCTGATGGTCAGTTTGGCTTCAGAACACACAGATCCACACAAAATCCCATTAGCACCCTTTCTCACTACATCCACATAAACACAGAACAAAGGGAAACAGGACAGCCCTGGTTGCAAAAGACGTTGAAAAAGCTTTTGACACTGGCACCAAGGGCTCAAGTAAAAAACTCTGCACTAACTTTAACCTGCCTCTCACTACTCGTAAACTCCTCTGCAACTTCTAGACGGCCGTACCATGAGAATCAAATTCCAAGGATGTTTACTCTGACTACTTCACACTAAATGCTGGAGTACCCCAGGGATCTGTCCTCTCCCCTCCCCTCTACATTTTATACACTAACGACATTCCAACACCTGTATACCAAAACCCCATCACACTAGCCAATGCAGACGACATTACACAACTTATCACTCATGCCAATATAGTACACTCACACACAAAACAAAATGAGGTCGACAGGATAAACCATCTGGGAAACAAAAATGGAGGATCAAAACCAATGCAGCTAAATCCAGCATTACATATTTTTAACTACAGAAAATGGGGATCCTCCTTTACCTGTCGAGCTCAGAAACAGCTGACCCCCGCACTTACATCCCCATGACACAATCTGTCACTGTCCTTGGCGTTAATCTTGACTACCTTCTACGCTTACAAGGACACATTCACTCAAGGCATGCAATAGCAAAGTAAGGCCCTTGCGGGCCTCTACAAGCTGAAACTTGCCTCTCAACGCACCAAACTACACCTCTACAAATCCCTTATACGTCCTCTGATAACTTACTCTCCTCTAGCCCTCTCTCTTGCAGCAAAAACAAACTTAGTTAAACTGCAGCGTGTCCAGAAAAAGGCGCTGCGCTGGGTGCTTGACGTCAGATGGGAGGACTTCGCCATGCGAGTCTCTACATGCCCAGTTAGAAAATCCCCTGCGCCCCCCATTTTGTACTGGAAGACGCTCAGTGCAGACAGATTGACAAAAATCGTGACAAGACATGACTATGGACCTTTCTCCTTGACGAAGACATTCGCAGACCCACAAACCCAAAACACCTTTTCTACTCCCTTTCATTTATCCTGCTCCTAACCCTATTTACAAATAACCTTGGATTCTCCGGAGGTACCTTCTATGACAGGTACCATTCTCTGATCCACGTTCGCCTTACCCTTTGGGTTAAGGACATGGCTCAGTTCTACACTCCTCTCTAGCTCTAAACGTCGATGTCCCCTTCCTTCCCGCTCACCCCCGGAAGTCCCATCTCTTTGGGAAGGACCTACTTCCACTGGGGAATCCGCCCTACCAGTGAATATGCCCTCGTCTGCTACACCTGACGTTACTATATAAGCACCAGGCTCTTTTCTTCTGCTTTAGAATCTCCACGACTATGGTGCTCTTCGCACCTACTCCTAGGTTGAGGGACTGATTACCTCATCTTCTGTACATAGTTTACTGTCTTCAAGTTATGTCCTAGAATTTGTAGTGATAAAGCCACTGGATGGCGAAACGTCTACAATAAAGATACCCAGATGTTGCATATGTGTCTTAATTTCATCTTGTCGGTATTATATACCATTCTTACACAACAGAAGAGCCTGAATTTCTCTTCTCAATATCTGTCCCACGATCGCCTCGCTGCTGGGTTAAGCCCTGGCTCTATTTCTACGACTAAGAAACTCCTCTCCAGCACTGTTCTTCGTCTGTCCCGTCTTCCCCGCTCATCCCAGTTGGGATCTTACCTTAGGGCAGTCTCCCTACGATTCCCGTTGGGGAGGGTTAATCTCTACCTGTTCGACAATGTTCGCACATCGTGTTAAAATCAAACCAGCCAGTGGTGTTATAAATGATTCCACTAAACTATTACTTGCTGCCGCTATGAGGACCTGCCTACATCTCAAATTCACAGCGATCCACTCACTCAAGGATTCCTTTATTGTCGTCTGCACCGACGACAATGAAGCAGTTAAACTTATGGACGACACTGCAATGAACACATTACGGGGCCGTCAATTCATCATATCACCGTCTCCCTCCTTGCTGGCGAAACGTTCAGTTTTTGTTAAACAATTGGATAAGATAATCACATCTATTCCAACGGATGAACTGAAGACCTCTATCGAAGACCAAAACACCTGGGCCTCTGTAGACACCATCACACAAATTTCCCCAATGCCTCATCTATGATCAAAATCACCTTTTTCAAACATAGATATGGCTACCCAAGCACTCGCTAATGGACTAGCTATCTCATATTACCACATACATCCACGCCACATTGAACCTAAAACGTTTTGCCCATGTCTCTCGCTGTTGGAACTGTTACTCTTATCAACATTCAACAAAGGACTGCCCCATTAAAGACAAAAAGTTCTGTTCTACCTGTGGAAAAGGTCATAACTTCAAAGCCTGCACCACCACCAATGCCACTCCAACATGTCTTAACTGCAAGGGTACTCATCATACCCTTGCAGCAAAATGCCCACTACGAAAAGAAGTAATGTCGAAAAAAATTAAAGAAGAAACCAAGAAGAATAGTCCCAAATCGCCGACATACACCGCCATTTCAAAACTCCAGTCGGACACCACCAGAATTCTACAAGCCACACAGCAGTCATCTCTATCCAGCAATTCCCTTTCTGTACTCCCTGACGCTGCTCCCTCTAAGGTGTTGTACTGCATGATGTATGCACACCTTGCAAATGCAGCAAACCCAGGCACATTAAAACACTACAATTAACGAACTATTCCGTCTTAACAACATGCCGTCATTCAACTTTCCTGACTCGCCAACATCACAGGACTTCCTCAAGATTATCCCAAACATCGCTAAACTTCACATCAACTTCAGGCCAAATCCTAACTCTGCCCCAAAAAAAACACTCCTGAACCACGCCCAGTGACCACTGCCACCTCTCAACAACCACCAACAACCAGCCAGACCGCAAATACTCTAGACTCCCAGCCTCCTCTTGACACAATCACGTAGAAAAAATTGAACAAGAATTTCCTGACGAATCCCCCGACGAAGCAGATAGCGACGACTCCAGCACACCTCTTGGAAAAACCTTACTTTCTACACCTCTCCCTCGAACGCTGACACCATGACCTGCTCTGAACTATACAAAGGCCTCGGTGATGGAACAGTCAAGTATGCCTGCGAATCACCTCTTCACTTCACACTCACGCAAGTTCTTGAGTTCATCAAGCCTCTTCGTTTCACTTTTTCCAACAAGACAACGCTATACCACCTCTCCAGGAGCAGCTTCAAGAAGTTTGCAAATGGCTCCACTGCAAACCTGCCTCCTCAACTACTAAAATTAACCTCCCACATGTCTGATGCCCTCTCCTGCGACCCGGAAAAATTCAGCTCTCGAGACTCAAAGACCTCACCTACCACGAGACTGGTGGGTGAGACATATAGGCAACAGATGGGCGACTTTGTTCCGGGGCGTTTCGCCTACACAGTAGGCTTCTTCAGTACAGAAGGTGGGCGGGACCAGTGGAGGTGTGGGGGCGGTGTGGTCGGTCCATCGCCCTTGAGGTCGTGGAATTTGGGGTTGTCGGTCCCTCAGCCTGGAGAAGTTCAGTTCCATACACAGCTTGCTCTCTTCCCGTTTTTTCTCCAAGTCTGTCCCACGATCGCCTTAGCTGCTGGGTCAAGCCCTGGCTCTATTTCTACGACTAAGAACACTCCTCTCCAGCGCTATTCTTCGTCTGTCCCGTCTTCCCCGCTCATCCCATTGGGATCTTACCTGCACTTGCTTGCTTGCTTACCTGAACTTTCGTTCGTTCGTTCGTTACTTCTTGTTGACTCACACTCCAAACACATCATCGTAAGACACAGTCGCTTCTCACCTCAAGAAGTGTTCCTTCGATCCCCGTCGGGGAGGGGAACCTATAGTCACCGTACCAGCGCCTGACTTACTCCTTCATGATGCTTGCAAACCGTGTAAGGATCAAACCCAACAGTGGAGTAATAAATGACTCTACTAAACTTGCCCTTGCTGCCGCTGTAAAGACTTACCTACAAGTTAAATTTACAGCCATCCACTCGACGAAAGACTCATTCATCGTCGTCTGTACTGACGATTATGAAACCACAAAGCTGATCGCCGACACTTCTATGAAAACCCTCAGAGACCGACAGTTCACCATCTCCCTTCACCCTTTTTTTCTGGCGAAACGTTCCGTTTTCGTCAAACGGCTGGACAAACCCCGTCACTTCTTTATCGACTGAGGATCTCAAGACCTCTATCGAGGAACAAAATACCTGGGCGTCGATTGAACTTATCACCAAAAACCCCAACGCCTCTACAATGATCAAGCTAACCTTCTCCAACATCGAGATGGCTACTAGAGCACTGTGCAAGAAAGGTATAAAATACCGACAATATGAAAGTTAAGACACATGTGCAACATCTGGATATCTTTATTGTAGACGTTCGCCATCCAGTGGCTTTATCAATACAGATTCTAGGACATAATAGGAAGACAGTAGAACTATATACAAAAGATGAGGTAATCAGTCCCTCGGCCTTGGAGTTAGTGTTCACAGCATCGTGGTGGAGGAGAATCTGGAGCAAAGACAAGAAGACTGGCGGTTATATAGGCGTCAGTGGATAGGGACGGGCAGCAGACGAGGGCAAAGTCACTGGTAGGCGGGATTCCCCAGTGAAGTAGGTCCTTCCCAAAGAGATGGGTTAGTTGCAGCAGCCGTGAAGAAGGTCTTGTAGATGTCCTCTGAACCAAGATTCCATGATGTTGCAGTGTCTGACAAGTTGTGCAAGAAAGGTATAAAATACTGACAATATGAAAGTTAAGACACATGTGCAACATCTGGATATCTTTATTGTAGACGTTTCGCCATCCAGTGGCTTTATCAATACAGATTCTAGGACATAATAGGAAGACAGTAGAACTATATACAAAAGATGAGGTAATCAGTCCCTCGGCCTTGGAGTTAGTGTTCACAGCATCGTGGTGGAGGAGAATCTGGAGCAAAGACCGAACGAACGACGAAACGAACGAAAGTTCAGGTAAGAATCCCAAATGGGATGAGCGGGGAAGACGGGACAGACGAAGAACAGTGCTGGAGAGGAGTGTTCTTAGTCGTAGAAATAGAGCCAGGGCTTAACCCAGCAGCGAGGCGATCGTGGGACAGATATTGAGAAGAGAAATTCAGGCTCTTCTGTTGGGACTCCGGTGGGGCGAGCGGGAAGGAAGGGACATGCGACGTTTAGAGCTAGAGAGGAGTGTAGAACTGAGCCATGTCTTAACCCAAAGGGAAAGGCGAACGTGGATCAGAGAATGGTACCTGTCATAGAAGGTACCTCTCGGAGAATCCAAGGTTATTTGTAAATAGGGTTAGGAGCAGGATCATGCAAGGAGTAGAAAAGGTTGTGTTGGTTTGTGGGTCTGCGAATGTCTTCGTCAAGGAGAGAGGTCCAGTAGTCATGTCGTGTCACGAGTTTGTCAATCTGTCTGTCACTGAGCGTCTTCCAGTACAGGAGCAAAGACAAGAAGACTGGCTGTTATATAGGCGTCAGTGGATAGGGACGGGCAGCAGACGAGGGCAAAGTCACTGGTAGGCGGGATTCCCCAGTGGAAGTAGGTCCTTCCCAAAGAGATGGGTTAGTTGCAGCAGCCGTGAAGAAGGTCTTGTAGATGTCCTCTGAACCAAGATTCCATGATGTTGCAATGTCTGACAAGTTGTGCAAGAAAGGTATAAAATACCGACAATATGAAAGTTAAGACACATGTGCAACATCTGGATATCTTTATTGTAGACGTTTCGCCATCCAGTGGCTTTATCAATACAGATTCTAGGACATAATAGGAAGACAGTAGAACTATATACAAAGATGAGGTAATCAGTCCCTCGGCTTGGAGTTAGTGTTCACAGCATCGTGGTGGAGGAGAATCTGGAGCAAAGACAAGAAGACTGGCGGTTATATATGACGCCTATATAACCGCCAGTCTTCTTGTCTTTGCTCCAGATTCTCCTCCACCACGATGCTGTGAACACTAACTCCAAGGCCGAGGGACTGATTACCTCATCTTTTGTATATAGTTCTACTGTCTTCCTATTATGTCCTAGAATCTGTATTGATAAAGCCACTGGATGGCGAAACGTCTACAATAAGATATCCAGATGTTGCACATGTGTCTTAATTTCATATTGTCAGTATTTTATACCTTTCTTGCACAACTTGTCAGACACTGCAACATCATGGAATCTTGGTTCAGAGGACATCTACAAGACCTTCTTCACGGCTGCTGCAACTAACCCATCTCTTTGGGAAGGACCTACTTCCACTGGGGAATCCCGCCTACCAGTGACTTTGCCCTCGTCTGCTGCCCGTCCCTATCCACTGACGCCTATATAACCGCCAGTCTTCTTGTCTTTGCTCCAGATTCTCCTCCACCACGATGCTGTGAACACTAACTCCAAGGCCGAGGGACTGATTACCTCATCTTTTGTATATAGTTCTACTGTCTTCCTATTATGTCCTAGAATCTGTATTGAGAAAGCCACTGGATGGCGAAACGTCTACAATAAAGATATCCAGATGTTGCACATGTGTCTTAACTTTCATACTAGAGCACTGTCTGACGGCCTAGCTATCTCCTACTATCATATCCATCCAAGTCACATAGAACCCGAACGTTTCGCCCATATCTCGCCATGCTGGACCTGCTACTCCTATCACCACTCAACGCCTGACTGTCCTCTGAAAGTGAAGAAGTACTGCACAAACTGCGGTAAAGACGGCCATGACTTCAAGGAATGTTCTACTACCACTACCTCTCCTACCTGCCTCAACTGCAAGGGTACTCACCACACCCTTGCAGCAAAATGCCCTCTACGTAAAGAAGTCCTGTCTAAGAAAATCATTGAAGAAACCAAGAACAACCCTAAATCACCAACATACTCCGCCATTGCAAAAATTCAATCAGATACCACCGAATTCCTTCAAGCTACACAACAATCGTCTCCACCCACCAGTCACCTGCTCTTCCTGCGCTGCTCCACCCAAAGGTTATACTGATGATTATGCACACCTTACAATGCGCAAACCCGGGCTCTTTAAACCCCCAAAAATCAAGAACTTTTCGCCTAAAAAACAGCCAAACTTAAATTTTCCCAATCGCCCCCACACAAGCCCCTAAAAAAAAATTAAAAATTTAACTTATCAAGGGTTATGAAAAAAATTTTTTTCCGCCCAAGACTCTACTCCAAAACCCAAACACCCCCGTTTTTTTGTTAAAAGACACACTATGTCCTTTTCCACATACTCCTATTGAGGACTGATTACCTCATCTTCGTACATATTTTCTCTGCTTCAAGTTAGTCCAAAATTTTGTATTGATAAACCACGGGAGGCGAAACGCCCTACAAAAAATACCCAATTTTTCACGTCTTAAATCTATATAAACAATTTGTTTCTACTAGGGACAATGCTCTTCTCCAACTGAGGCTGACCACCTAAAAAATTTTAAGGGTGATGGACTGATTACACGTTTTCAATATCTTCTGCTTCTATAAAACTTTTCTACTTGACGAAGAACCCTACTGTGTACAAAAACTTTTCAAATAAAGATACCTAACTGTCTATGTTTTTTCCTAACAACCTGTCGGTATTTAAAACATTTTAATGCCCCAACCGTCACTGCCACCTCTCACCACCCACCACCACCCCAACAAATCCCCACCGACCAACACAAATAGTACCAGAACATTATGAACAACCCCGACAACGACAAAAAGTATATCAAGAAGAAACCACGGCAACCTTTTACCAAGCCAACCCTTTAAAAAGGGTCATAACCTTCTACACCACCCCAACCTCCCACCGAAATGACCAGTTTATATGCCCATTTAAAAGAAGGTTTTTAATACACCACACCAACCCACCAAATTCCTTTGAAAACGCACTACTTACCTCGGGGGCAATCGAACTGTCCACCTTTGAATCAACTTTTCCCCCACTGTCCAAGAAGACTTCAAAAAACTCAAGAGGGGCCCACACCAGCGAAGTGTATCAACACACAACCCCTTTAAACACCTGACGTCCAAACCACTTTTTCACTAGCCTAAACATATCTGGGCGGCACCCCAGTCTGCTCCTCCCTATTCTTCAACATCCCTCCTACACTCCCCGGGCAGTCCCACCACTGGTTTTACCCTGGCTTTTTCATCTACAACTAAACCCTTCCTCTCACGACGTTCCGTCTCCCAACTTCCCCACTCACCCACCGGGATCGCAACAGAAACCGCATTGTTTCTCAAGTCTGTCCCACGATCGACTTAGCCTGGTTAAGCCCGGCCTATTTCACAACTAAGAACACTCCTCCCACACATTTTTCGCTGTCCCGCTTCCCCCCTCCCCTTTGGGGATCTTACCTGAACTTCGTTCGTTCGTTCGTACCTTGTTAGCACCAACCACTTCCACTCACAAAATCGACCCCAGCCCAGCCCCTGGGGC